TAGCGCTCTAAGAGTATGCACCCGTTCCAAGGACCCTCATGGCTAACATCCGAGGAATTGTGTCTTAGTGCGATGTCGGATTTTCAGGGCGAAGCAGTTATGTTGATTCGCTGTGCTGAAGCTCCAGGAATGGTGTTCTGACACATTTCAGGATCGCCAAGACGCATCAGCAACGGTGATTCGCGGCGTTGAAGTCCCAGGAATGGTACTCTGGCACAGTTCTGGATTTTCGAACGGTTGTCTTCCGAAGGGACACTTTCCTCAGTGAAAACGATACTTGGTTAGCACCTATGAGAAAGGAACTTGGAGAAGGGTCGATGGCAAGATGGTTCACGAATGTTAGGTTTGCACTGGCCGTCCGTCTCATCATAACCCTCCTGAACCTCATCATCATCATCATCGTCATCATCATCATCATCATCATCATCATCATCATCATCATCAGCATCATCATCATCATCATCAACATCATCATCACCATACTCAGAATCATAATCATCATCAGCAGCATCATCATCACCACCAACATCATCATCAACAGCAGCATCATCATCGTCATTATCATTATCAGTATCACCACCATCATCATCAGCATCAGCATCAGCACCATCAGCATCATCATCATTATCACCACCATCATCACCAACGACAACATCATCATCATAATCAGCATCAGCAGCAGTATCATCAGCATGATCATCATCATCATGATCATCATCATCATCATCATCATCAGCATCATCATCATCATCATCCGCATCATCATCAACATTATGGTCACTGACATCATAATCATCCTCATCATCATCATCATCATCATCATCATCGTCATGGTCATCGTAATCAGCAGCAGCATCATCAACAACAGCATCATCATGCTCATCAACATCATCATCGTCATCATCATCATCATCATTATCAGTATCACAATCGCCATGGTCATCATCACCATCATCATCACATTTCAAATCATCATCATCACCATCATCATCAGCAGCAGCATCATCAGTACAATCATCATCTTCATCATCATCATCATTACCATCATCGTCAGCACCATCCATCAGCATTGGGACAACAATCATCATCGTCATAATCAGCCTACGCATCATCAGCATCATCATTACCATCCTTGACGTCGTCGCCGTCACCGAGATCGCCGTCCTCCTCCTTCTCCTCATCGTCATCGTCATCAACACCGTCATCGTCATAGTCGTCAATGTCACCGTCGATTAAACATCCTCATCATCTGCACCACCACAACCACCACCACCACCACCACCACCACCATCATCATCATCATCATCATCATCATCATCATCATCATCATCATCATCATCATCATCATCGTCACCACCTGCATCATCACCCCTACCAGCATCATCACCACCACCGTCATCAGCATCAGCAGCATCATCATCATCGGCATCATCAGCATCATCAGCATCAGCATCATCATCATCATAATCATCATCATCATCAACAACGACGGTACCAGCAGCACGCTAGGGTGCCCGAAGAAGCCAAAACCAATTATTTGTGTCCCCTGTATGCATCATTGTGTTTTTGCGTTCACGCCATTTCGGCCTTCGGTCAACCAAAGACGGCCAGAAAGACTGGCCAAGAGGGTTCCAAGATTGCTGAGGAGGCCCCCAAGACTGCCCCAAGGGGGCCCCGATACTGCCCAAGAGACCTCCTAGACGGCCCGAAAGCTTCCCAAGAGAAAACCAAGACGGTCCAGAGATCCAAAAGATAGCTTCCGAAAGCGTCAGACGGGCCAAGAGTCCAAGCACGGCCCAGAAGGCATCCGACTCACCCAAAGAGGGCTCCAAGAGGCCGCTCGGGAAGAGCCCCAAGAAACCAAAACCATTGACGTTCCTCAGCTGTTCAAAGATTCTCGCGTTCCGGGTTTTGTGGGCTTCCGACAACCCGAAAAGGGCCCCAGAGTCCGCCAAGACTGGCCAAGAGGGCCCCAATGGCCCCCAAGAGGGCCCCAAGACGGCCCCAAGATGGCCACAAGACGGCCCCAAGATGGCCACAAGACGGCCCATGAGACCCCCAAGACTGTCTGGAGGCGGCACCAAGACGATACCCGAAGGCGCCAGACGGACCACGAGCCCTAAGACTGCCCAAGAGGCCCCCAAAACAGACTAAAAGGGCTCCAAGAAGCCTTCGGGGAGGGCCCAAAGAAAATGGGACTCTCGCACTGGCGCCTGCAACAACTAACAGGATGGTGGCCGCTTCGTTTTCAAAAGAGGCTCTCAGCTTGGTGCCGCTCACACACACACACATCCTAAAAGTCTGCACCATCTATACAGTCGAGGCGTTGACCTAAGGAACCTTAAATAAGAAACGAGGCCCCTGTTTCCCATGAGCTAAACTTTGACTTCCCATCGGAAGCTTCAGGAAAACCTTGGGCAAGCTGTGAAACAATTAAGGAACACCGAGCCCCTATCCAACGAAAAGGGTTCCTTCTTCAGCGCCCCGACTTGAAGGGCAGAGGACGGCTCCCCTCCAAAAAGGGACTCGCTTAAGACTCCCCTCGAAGAACAGAATAGAAACCAGAGAGGGTCGAGAAGAGGTGACGTGCATGCACGCGCGGAGGGCGGCTCCTTTCCAGGAGGGGGCTCTCGCCTTAGATGTAGGTCGGGCAAGTCCGCCTACAGGCGGAGTTTGGACGAGAAATAAACAAATACTCAAAAGATCGTCCCCCGACTAATGTTTGATTGTGTTTGAATGTTTCTCCTGTAGAGGGACATGCCCGACTTAACCTTATATTTCTCACATCTGATGTCCATCTGTGTACTCTGGAAAAGTTCTTTGTTTTATCGAAAGGAGAAGATTAACCTTCCGACTGAGCTTGCCCAATCCCGCCCCCTCCGTCCTCCTCCCCCTCATGATCCTCCTCCTCCTCCTCCTCCTCCTCCTCCTCCTCCAACCCCCCCTCAACCCATTCTGACAGCACGTGCCCAGACCCCCCAGCGGCTCCAAGGGGGGAGCGATGATTGCCTCATCCAGAGTAACTTTGTGCAGCAATCACCTGGATGGGGAGCGGATGTTTGTTCAGCACAGGCCTATAGCTAGACGCTTCGTTGAACTTGCTACGGTCAAACCAGCTCGCATTCCTTTATATATATATATATACACACACATGTATGTGGCCAGAAACAGGGCGGATTCTTTGACAAAGCAGAGGTCCCACCGGAGCGACGAGGGGGCACTTCTTGTAGTCAAAAAGCGAACTTGTAGAGACTTATGAGGAAATTTGGAACGAAAGGTTTATTGTAGCATCTTTGACGCATCCTGGGTGCTGGATCCTTGGTGTACTGTGGTCCTCCTCCTCCTCCTCCTCCTCCTCCTCCTCCTCCTCCTCCTCTGTCATCTCCTCCCTCAGTGTCCTCCCACTCCTCCCTCCTCAATCTCCTCTTCCATCCTCAGCATACTCATCATCACAGTCCCATGCACTCCATCACCACCTTCATCATCGCCAACACCAGCATCAGCATGGTCATCAACACTATGGTAAGCATCAGCATCGTGATCATCGGCATCATCATCAGCAGCATCAACAACAACATCATCATCATCATCATCATCGTCGTCATCATCATCATCAGCAGCAGCATCAGCATCATCATCATCAGCATCAGCATCAGCATCAGCATCAGCATCAGCATCATCATCATCATCATCATCATCATCATCGTCATCGTCATCGTCATCGTCATCAGCATCATCATCATCAGCATCATCATCATCATCTTCATCAGCCTCGTCAGCAACAGCATCATCATCAGCAACATCATCAGCATCATCAACATCATCATCTACATCATCAGCATCATCAGCATCATCAGCATCGTCATCATCATCATCGTCATCATCAAAATCGTCATCGTCATCATCATCGTTATCAACATCAACATCATCAATATCATTATCAGCAGCAGCATCATCATAATCAACATCATCAGCAGCAGCATCATCAGCATCATCAGCAGCATCAGCATCATCAGCATCAACATCAGCGTCATCATCATCATCAGCATCAGTACCATCATCATAATCACCCTCACCATCATCGACGTCATCGTCATCATCAGCGGCATCATCATAAAAATCAGCGTCATCATCTGCATCATCATCACCAGCATCATCATCATGTTCATCATCATCATCACCATCATCATCATCATCCTCATCATCATCATCATGGTCGTCATCATCATCCTCACATTACCATGATCATCATCATGTTCATCATCATCGTCATCGCCGCCATCGTCATCATCATCATCAGCAGCATCAGCATCATCGTCTAATCCTCATCATCATCAGCCACATCGATATCATCATAATTAGCATCATCATCATCATGGTCATCATCATAGACACCAGCATCATCAGCATCATCACCATATCTCACCAGCATCAGCATCAGCATCAGCATCAGTATCATCATCGTCATCAGCATCATCATAGTCATCATCATCAGCAGCAGCATCACCATCATCGTCATCATCATCGTCGTCGCATCGTCATCAACATCATCATCAGCAGCAGCATAATCATCATCAGCATCATCAACATCATCAGCAGCAGTGTCGCCAGCAGAATCATCATCCTATGCATCATCAGCATGAGCATCAGCATCATCATAAGCAGCTCATTACCAGTATCATTAGAATCCTCATCGTCATTTCCTCGTCATCATCGTCCTCATCATCATCATCATCATCATCATCATCATCTCATCGAAATCATCAGCCACACCATCATCAACCCAGTCGTCAGTGTCGTCATCGTCGTCATCGTCATCATCATCAGCAGCAGCAGCTTCATCATCGGGGTCGTCGTCGTCGCCATCGTTATCGCCATCGTCATTGTCATCGTCGCCATCATCGCCGCCGTGATCGTCAACGTCACCGTCGTCTCCTCATCGTCAACATCATCATGCTCATCATCGTCATCATCACCTCCATCAACAGCGCCGCCCCCGCCTCTTGTCGCCAGACTGGAGGAAGGCGCCAGCCTCGCGCGAGCTGGGGCCGGGGCGCGCCGGCTGCTCGGAGAGAGGCAGCAGGGAAGGGAAGAGAAGAGAAAGGAATGGAAGGGAAGAGAACGGAAGGAAAGCCAAGAGAGAGAGAGAGAGGATCGGAGAGAGAAGAGGAGAGAGGACGAAAAGAACAGAGGGAAAAGACGGGACAAGATGAGAATACTGAACCGTCTGAAAGCAGCTCAAACCAGGCAATAGAAGAAACTACAGGGCGTGAACGAAAAGAGGACGCGACCATAAAACAAGCATAACAAGTGAAAAAAGTGTAATTGGAAAAGGATTCAAGAGAAGGGACCAGAATGAAGGAAGTTGCATGAAAATCAAGCAACAAGAAGGCATGCGAAATCTGTCGGATGGGATGCCACAACCACACCTACCAACTGAGGCATGAGCAGGGAGAAGACAGAAGGGAGAGCAAAGGCAAGCAGACAAGGGGGAGAAAAACACAAAAAAAAAAAAAAAAAGAGAAGGGAAACAGAGGAGAAGAGCAGAGACAAACTAGCAGAGGAGGGGGTCACATCTGCAAGAACGCCAGAGACGAGAAGAGAGAGAACGTCCGAGATGGCTGCTGAAGCCCATGGCAGGCAGCCCCTCCAACCTCACCCCGTCGTGAGGGGTAGTAGACCCTGCGAAATGCTTTAGAAATCATGGGTTAAGAAATTCATAGTCTCAGAATTTGAATAAAAACCCAAAATGTCTATCCAAATCTTGGGATTTACACTGAAACGTTAAGAATAATCGAGACTCTGGCCGAAAACTTAGGTTTTCTTAAGCATCGCCTGGAGTGTAGACTGGCTGTGGCCCGGGTAGAAGGGTTGCATGCCCTTGAGATCCCAGACCTCTCGCTTGCCAGAGAACCTCGGGGGGAGGCGGAGGCACGTGGGCCTCCCAGGGGCCAACTAGCCAATACTGCCGACCAAAACGCAACGTGCTCCTTCTGAGGCGTCGAGCGGGGGAAGGGTTGCATGTCCTTGAAAACCAGACCCTCGTTTGCCAGAGGAGGAGGAGGAGGAGGAGGAGGAGGAGAGACGATGAGAGACGAGGAGGAGAGACGAGGAAGGAGGAGGAGGAGGAGGAGGAGGAGGAGGAAGAGGAGGAGGCAGGAGGAGAGGAGGAGGAGGAGGAGGAGGAGGAGGAGGAGGAGGAGAGGAGAGGAGAGGAGGAGGAGGAGGAGGAGGAGGAGGAGGAGGAGAGGAGGAGGGGGAGGAGGAGGAGGAGGAGGAGGGAGGAGGAGGAGGAGGAGGAGGAGGAGAGGGAGGAGGAGGAGGAGAGACGAGGAGAGACGAGGAGAGTCGAGGAGGAGAGGCGAGGGAGGAGGAGGAGGAGGAGGAGACCCAGGACGAGCCTCCTCAGACTGGATCGGGCCCCTGAAAAAGGGCAGGGTAGAAAAACAGCTCACGTAGCTGGTTTTCCCAGCGCCTCCCGTCGCTGGGAGGCGCCCATGTGTACCGAGAGATTGGCCCGGCGGCTGGGCCGAAACCAGCTGCATGCAGGAGATGTCGCAACCCCCCCTTTCTCTATCCTCAGGTCGGGCCCCAGACTATCTTTTGACTATTTTTGAATACTCCCCCTGTAGAGTTAGGTCGGGCACGTTCCCCGAATTACAGACGGAATTTTGACGAAAAATGAAAAATACTTTAGACATGCTCAAAACTTGTCTAAAAATCCTGAGAAACCAGTCCCCTGACTATTCTTAACCCGTTTTTGCACATTCCCCCTGTGGAGGGACATATGCCCGACTGAACTGTAGAGGGACAGGCCTGACTTGGCCCTGTCCCCCCCCCTCGTCGTTCGGCCCGGTGCAGGCGGGCCTCGAGCCCCCCCGAGAAGCTCCGAGGGCGCCGAAGCGGCCGTGGCCGGGAACGAACGGGATAGCGCGCACACCGCGCTCCGGGGCCCGCGCGCGGACGAGGGGGGGGGCCAGGGAGCGCGCCTCGGCGGCGAGCGAGGGGGGGGGGAAGCTCGAGGTTCGAACTTCGAGGTTCGAGCTTCGAGGTCCGAACTTCGAGGCTCGAGGTTTGCGGGCGCTCTCGTTGGTCCTCCGCGGCTCTCCAGCCTCGGGATGCCTGCCAGCAGCTGCGCCTCGCCGAGGGTGCTCCAGGGGTGCCCGGATCGTCCCGAACGGCCGCCGGAGACCCGAGCTCTGACCCAAACAACCAAGTTCGGCGGCGCGCGGGGGGGGGAGTGAGAAGGAGAAGGCCCTCTCAGAATGGCGGCGGGACTTCTCAGAAGGCCTCCAGCCTTCCGAGCGGTTTTTGTTGGGGGTCTTCGGGGAAGGCTCATAAAACTTCTCAGAAGGCCGGGGAACTTCCGAGCCTTCTGATGGGGCCTGCTCCTTTTCACTGCCACCCCTCGCTCGCCGCAGAGTGTTGGATGGAGTTCGTTTTGTTATACTATTGACGGTAACGCCCGAGGCCAGCCCTGCCTCCCGCTTCCCCCCATGGTCACGTCACGATTCGCGCTGGCGCCGTGTGGGAAACCGTGGAGTGCGAATCGTGGAGTGACCGGCCCCCTTCCCCCGCCAAGCGCCCAACCTGGTCACGCTCGTTGCTACGTTGTTCGTTATGGGCCACGTATAGATCGCAGAGCGGAGGGGGGGGGACCAGGAAGAGGCATGCCACTCCTTGACAAAAACCAGGCCCCGATTTGCGGCCGCCGCGATCGCCGCGGCGACCTCCAAAACCTATGAGGCTTGGTTCGGGTCGGACCCTGAGATCCGACGATGCAACATCGCAAAAAACCACGCCTGGGGCCCTAGACCCCATCTTCCTGCGTCATGTTTCGAACCGCATCGATACGTGAGGGTCCCAGGGCCCGAAATCGTGCGAAAAAAACCGCTGCAAAAAGCGACAGTGTGCGAAACCATTTCGCGAACATTTGCGAAATGTTGCGAACACGCCCGCTGTAAAAGAATGGCAGCGCCATGACCTCCGGGGACAACGCGCAACGATCCCTGGCGCCTCCGAGGGTGCCACGGCGGCCTGCGAGGGCCCCCCCGGCGCCTCCTGGGACTCCACGACCGAGGAGGGCACCCCCGGGCGACCCCGAGGGGCTCCCGGCGCCTGCCACGTGGGGCCCTCGAGGGGAGGCGACGTCGACGACGCCCACGCCGCCGCAGCCAGCCGGCGGCGTCGCCGTCGGCAGCGTCCCACAACCGCGACGTCATGATTCTCTGGCACCCTGACATGATCGCGTCGTAAAAAAATCAGGGCGGGAGATTCTTGGCCATCTTCGGCCCCAGGGGGCCCTCACCGGGCCCCGGGACCGTCAAAGAACGACTCGGGACAAAAGGAACTGGTCCCGGGGAAAGGCCTTCCAGGGACGCCGCCCTGAAAAAATCAGGACGTCGCACGTGAAGGGGCCCCAGGACACACAAATAAATACACACAAATAAAAAGATTCCCCATAATTTCCTATATTTTATGGTTCTTTGTCTTTCCCACCACTTCCCATATTTTCCCATATTTTCCAAGAAATCGAAGATTAATTGTGTCTGTTTGTTTCTTTCCCTCCTGAGCACGTCTGGGCACGGGGCCCCAAAAGTCTGGACCACTTCCGGAGGACCGGCTCCTTCGTCCTGGACCGTGCTGGCGAGGGCCCCCAGACGCCGGACGTTACGAAACACCTCCGTCTTGATTTGTTCGATGAGATTCGACGTCAGCGCAAAAAATACCACATCGTAAAAATTCACGCCCCGAGCCCTACACCCTGCGAAATGCTTAAGAAATCATGGGTTAAGAAATTCATAGTCTCAGAAATTGAATGTAACCCACAACTTCTATCAAAATCTTGGGATTTACATTGAAAAATTAAGAATAATCGAGACTCTGGACGAAAACTTAGGTTTTCTTAAGCATCGCCTAAGGTGTAGACCCCATCTTTCTGCGTCATTTTTCGAGCAGGATCGAGCTGTGAGGGTCGCGGGGCCCGAAATGGAGCAAAAGAACCCGCTGTGAAAAAGTTGCAGCGCCAGGATCTCAAGGTTGTCAATGCGTTTGAAGTATGGGCTCGGCGTCGTCGTCGCGCCGGCGTCGGCGACAAAAGCCCCACGTTGGTGGCTACCTGGGGCGCCCTGCCTTGTCGCTCCCCCGCAGCTCCCCAGCACGGTGGGCCAGCTCGCTCTCGGCCAGCCTGCGGGGCGGGGGACGCCGCCGTTCCTCCGCCTCCTCCTCCTCCTCCTCCTCCTCCTCCTCCTCCTCCGCCTCCTCCTCCTCCTGCCTCCTCCTGCCCCTCCTCCTCCTCCTTCTCCTCCTCCTCCTCCTCTTCTTAGTACTAGTCTCATTCGTCTTCTTCTGATTAGTATAATTACTGTTATTCGTTGTCTTCTTATGTGCCTTGTTAATATAGTTAGTGTTATTATTCGTCTTATGATTCTGAGTAGCATTAACATGATTATTGAGTTGTTTTGCTTATTATTATCATTACTATTTCCCGACCATCCTGTGGTGTTGGGTCCTCGTTTTGAAGAGACAGCGCCCCGCGTCCCAACCACTCAATCACTCACTCACTCACTCACTCACTCACTCACTCCTCCTCCTCCTCCTCCTCCTCCTCCTCCTCCTCCTCCCCCCCCTCCCTCCTACCCCCCCTCCTTCCCCTAGCCACCCACCCAATACAGCGCTTCGTGGCCCCATAGAGAGCTCCACGTAAGGCCCCAAGGAGTGGGTACCACATGCGTCCGCCACACCCAGTACGGCGCTTCGTGGCCCCATAGGGAGCTCCACGTAAGGCCCAAGGGGGCGGGTACCACATGCGTCCGCCACAACCAGTAAAGGGTTTCGTGGCCCCATAGAGAGCTCCACGTAAGGCCCCAAGGGGGGGGGGTACCACATGGGTCCGCCACACCCAGTACGGCGCTTCGTGGCCCCATAGGGAGCTCCACGTAAGGCCCCAGGGGTACGACGTTTCGTGGCCAGCTGGACCGTCCGCATGCGCCCCACACATCCAATTCACATGCCAATTACAGCGCTTCGTGGCCCCATTAGGAGCTCCACCGAAGCCCCCAGTGGGACCGCCCACATGCGTCCCGGCGGAAACCCAATTTGGCATTTTCACCCACCCAGTACAACGTTTCGTGGCCCCATAGGGAGCTGCACCGAAGCCCCCAGTGGGACAGTCTGCATATGCGTCCCGGAAGCCCAATTTGGCATTTTCACCCAGCAGGCATACGCGTTTGGTGGCACCATTAGGAGCTCCACCGAAGCCCCCAGTGGGACCGCCCACATGCGCCTCGGAAACCCAATTTGGCATTTTCACCAACCCAGTACAACGTTTCGTGGCCCCATAGGCAGCTGCACCTCAGCCCCCAGTGGGACAGTCCGCATACGTCCCGGAAGCCCAATTTGGCATTTTCACCCACCCAGTGCAGCGCTGCGTGGCCCCATAGGGAGCTCCACCGAAACCCCCAACGGGACCGTCCGCATGCGTCCCACACATCCAATTTGGCATTTTCACCCACCCAGTTCAGCGTTTCGTGGCCCCATAGGGAGCTCCACCGACGGCCCCAGTGCTATCGCCCGCATGCGCCCCCCCGTGCAGCGCTTCGTGGCTCCATAGGGAGCTTCACCGAAGAAGACATTCACAATTGCGGCACCCACAACTGCATATGGTTGGGCCCTTCGCCTGGATAACTTATTATTAGTAATATGATTCGTAATACAATTAGAAGTATTATTAGTATATTGTTGTAATAGTACTGTGAGTATGAGTGTTGGTATCAATATTAGTAGTGGTAGTATTAATAGTAGTAATAGTATTTAGTAGTATTAGTATTAGCAGTCTTATTGTTCTTGATGCATATTCGTATTCATATTCATATTCCTAATATGATTATTGTTATTATTATTATCAGTAGTACTAGTATTCTCAGTAGTATTCGTATTCTTACGAGTATGAATATTAATGTTCGTAAGATTACTATTCGTAGTCTCCTTCTTAATCCAATTAATAGTATGATCCGTTTACATTGTAGGAGTGTGATTATTCTTGTTAGAATTAGTATTAGTGTTAGTCTGTGTCGTAATGTTATGTGTACTATTGGTGATGTCTTTAGTACGATTCATCGTAATAGTCTTCATAGTTATGTTATTATTACTAAAATGATTAGTAGTATTATCCCTCTGATTCCTCCTCCTCCTCCTCCTCCTCCTCCCTCCTCCTCCCTCCTCCTCCTCCTCCTCCTGCTCCTCCTCCTCCTCCTCCCCCTCCTCCTCCTCCTCCTCATCTTCCTTATCCTCCTGCTCCTGCTCCTGCTCCTGATCCTGCTTCTCCTCCTCCTCCTCCTCCTCCTCCTCCTCGATATCCTCCTCCTCCTCCTCCTCCACCTCCTCCTCTTCCTCCTCCTCCTCCTCCTCCTCCTGTCAGCGAGGCGGCCACCTCTGAGGGAGACCTGGCTGAGGGAGACCTCAAGGACGGCGGCGGCGGCCAGAGGAACCAAAACTGCACGAATACAAACTCTTGGAGGTCCGCGCGGATGGCTTGAGCCAGCGCTGCCTGGCGCGAGGAGCGCGCCAGGGGCGGCGCCAGAGCCGCCACCAGAGCGTCCCCAGCGCCAACCCGAGAAATCCGCGCGGACCTGCGAAAGTTGTTGTCCGAGTGCAGTTATCGTGCTGCCACAAGAAAAGCATCATTAAAAACGCCGAGGCTTCTCTAACCACGGCAAGCCTAGGCCACAAACAGGCTCCACGACATGAATCTAAGGAGCGGCCCGAACCGAGCCCCTTCCTGAGCCCAAAGCACTCCTGATTTCAGCGTCTTGACTGTAGAGGTTGCTCTTCGGATGGCGACGGATGCGGCGACTGGCGGTGGCAAGCGGCGCACTCCGCCGGGAGCAGCTCGCGGGCGGCCGTGCTGGACAGGCCCAAAGCCTCCTGCGGGCCCATGGGCAGCCTCCTTCCTCACCCCTCCTCCTCCTCCTCCTCCTCCTGCTCCTCCTCCTCCTCCTCCTCTTCCTCCTCCTCCTCCTCCTCCTCCTCCTCCTCCTTCTCCTCCTTCCTCCCTCCCTTCCTCCCTCCCTCCCTCCCTCCCTCCCTCCCAAAACCTGGCGCACCACCCGCCCACCTCTCGCTCGGCCCTCGCGCCCTGGCGCCGCTGGCCAGCGACAGCCGGGCCCGCCGGCACCAGCGCCGCCGCCGCACGCCCTGGCCGTCCAGGGTGCCCGGCGCTGCGGGCTCGCCGCCCACCCCAGCAAGGGCTCCCAACTTCGCGCTTCGCGCTGCGCGAAGCGCGAAGCGCGAATAACTTCGCGCTCTCGCGCCGCCCTCCCAAAGGGAGAAAAGGAGGACGAGGAGGAGGGGGAGAAGGAACGAGGACCGCGAAGCGCGAAGCGCGAATAACTTCGCGCCCTCGAGGGAGCCCTTGGTGCTGGCGCCCAGCGCCCGCAGCGAGGCCTGCGCGGCGTGCTGCACCACGGTCGCCCGGATCGCCAGGAGGGACAGGGCGGTGGCACGGCCCGTCCCGAGCCAGAGGCGGCCGAACTCACAGCGCTGCCGGTGCATCGCCGCGAGCGCCTGCAGAGCCCGGGGCCCGGCGCGGCCGAAGGGCTCGAAGGCGAACGGCGTCACGACCTCGCCGCAGTGGGACAGCTTGTCCCTCTCGCCGTTGAGCGCCGCCGCGCTGGGCTGCAGGTGCAGTGCTCCTCCCTCCCTCCCTCCCTTCCTGCCTTCCTCCCTTCCTCTCTTCCTCCCTGCCTCCCTCGCTCCCTCCCTCCCTCCCTCCCTTCCTCCCTGCTCCCTTCCTCCCTTCCTCCCTTCTTTTGTTTCCTTTGTTCCTCCCTTCCTCCCTTCCTCCATTCCTCCTATCCTCCCTACTCCCTTCCTCCCTTCCTCCCTTATTTTTCTCCTTTGTTCCTCCCTTCCTCCCTTCCTCCATTCCTCCGTTCCTCCCTGCCTCCCTTCCTCCATTCCTCCATCCCTCCCTTCCTCCCTTCCTCCTCTGCTTGCTTCCTTCCTCTATTCCTTCCTTCCTTTTTTCATTGTTTCCTTCCTTACTTCCCTTCTCCTCCGCCTCCGCCTTCGCGTCCGCCTCCGCCTCCGCCTCCGCCTCCTCCTCTTCCTCCTCCTCCTCCTCGTCCTCCTCATCCTACTCCTCCTCCTCCTCCTCCTCCTCCGCCTCCTCCTCCTCTTCCTCCTCCTCCTCCTCCTCCTCCTCATCCTCATCCTAATCCTAATCCTCATCCTCATCCTCATCCCCTTCCTCATCCCTCCCTTCCTCCCTCCCTCCCTTCCGCCCGGCCTCCTCTTCCTTTGATCCCTTCCCTTTTCCCCCTCCCTCCTCCCTCCTCCATCCTCCCTTTCTCCTCATCCTCCCTCATCCATCCTCACTCCTCCCCCTCCTCCCTCATCCTCCTCGTCCTCCATCCTCCTCCCTCCTCCTCCTCCCTGCCTCCCCCTCCTCCTCCTCCTCTCCTCCCTCCCTCCTCCTCATGCTCCCTCCTCCTCCCTCCCTCCTCCTCTCCCTCTCCCTCCTCCTCCCCTCCTCCTCCTCCTCCTCCATCCTCCTCCTCCTCCTCCTCCTCCTATTCCTCCTCCTCCTCTTCCCTTTTCTCTTCCTCCTCTTCCTCTTCCTCCTCCCCCCGCCTCCTCCTCCTCCTCATCCTCCTCCTGTTCCTGCTCCTGCTCCTCCTCCTCCTCCTCCTCCTCCTCCTCCTCCGCCTCAGCCTCAGCCTCTTCTTCTGGATCCCGCTTCGTATTAGTATTAGTATTAGTATTAGTAGTTTGAATAGTCTCATTGTTACTAGTTGTTCATTAGTCGCATGACGCTTCTTCTTCGTCGTATTACTCTTCGTATTGGTATCAGTAGTATTCGTAGGTGTGTTGTTGCTACTGCTACTGTTTTGCATATGCGTAGTAGGAGTAGTAATAGTAGTAGTAGTAGTAGTAGTAGTAGTAGTAGTAGTAGTAGTAGTGGTAGTAGTAGTAGTAGTAGTGGTAGTAGTAGTAGTAGTAGTAGTAGTAGTAGCGGTAGTGGTAGTGGTAGTGGTAGTGGTAGTGGTAGTGGTAGTGGTAGTGGTAGTGGTAGTGGTAGTGGTAGTGGTAGTGGTAGTGGTAGTGGTAGTGGTAGTGGTAGTGGTAGTGGTAGTGGTAGTGGTAGTGGTAGTGGTAGTGGTAGTGGTAGTGGTAGTGGTAGTGGTAGTGGTAGTGGTAGTGGTAGTGGTAGTGGTAGTGGTAGTGGTAGTGGTAGTGGTAGTGGTAGTGGTAGTGGTAGTGGTAGTGGTAGTGGTAGTAGTAGTAGTAGTAGTAGTAGTGATAGTAATATGGGTATGAACATCATTGGTATCATCAGTAGTTGTAGTGATATTCATATGCGTAGTCTTAGTCGTCTTATTATTAATAGATTTTGGTGAGTCGTTTTCGTCTTATTAATATGACTCGACTTCGTCGTATGTTGTATTCGTATTCGTAGTATTCGTAGCCGTGTTAGTGTTAGTAGTATTAGTGTTTCTTGCTCGCCTGATTATTCATCTTAAGATTATGCTTAGGAGTCGTAGTAGCATTCCCTTATTCGTATTACTATAACTCTGCATAATCGTATTATTCGCGGTATTAGTGTTCTGCGTCTTAATATTATCTTGCTTATTCGTATCAGTATGTGTTGTAGTTGCCGTATTATCGTGCTTCTTATGTTTCGTCGCATTGCTATTGTACGCATTCGTGTTATTAGCATTCGTCTCATTGTTTGCCGTACACGTCTTATACGTACGATTCTTATTCGTAGAACCCGTCGTACTATTAGCATTATATGTATTAGTCGTAGTATGCGTGTGCTTCTTCTTATGTGTCGTATTCTTATTCGCAATCGTATGATTATTCTGCGTCTGCATAGCCCTCGTATGGTTATTAGTACTCGTCTTATTAATAGTAATGGTATTATTCGTATCCTTAGTTTCAAATCGCCTTCTGAACCGATATAATGTATGTTTGTCCGCACTATGCTTCTTATAGTCTTACTATTCATCTTATGTATACATACAGTAGTATTATGATTATTATGATTCTTAGTATGTCGTTCCTTCCTCGTAGCTGTAATAGTCGCCTGGGTCGTCGTCGTACTCGTACTCTTCCTCGTCTTATCGTGATTCTTCTTATGTTAATATTATTCTTCCCAATATTCATATTAAATATTAGTATTACTATTAGTATTATTATTCCTCCTCCTCCTCCTCCTCCTCCTCCTGCTCCTCCTCCTCCTCCTCCTGCTCCTCCTCCTCCTCTTCCTCCTCGTCCTCCTCCTCCTCTTCCTCCTCATCCTCTTCCCTCCCCCATGCCCTCCCTCCCGAATTACGAATTACCTCCCTCAGGCCCACCTTTCCGTCCCTCATTACTTCCCTCAGTTCTTCTTTTTTGGGACGCCCGTGACGGGTACGGAAGCAATGAGTACAATGCCCAACAGCAAGTGTTGTCCCAAACCAACAGCGGCCGCTGTTGGGCAGGCGGCCTTCTGTCTCGAATTGACACAGGCCGCGGCGGCGCGGACAGCGAGTCCTGTTCAAACTGAACAAGAACTGCTGTTGGGCATCGTACCCGTTCTTTCCGTGCCCATCTCGTCCGTGCAGATCCTTCCCTCCGGCGCCCCCCTCCCGCCCCTCCCCCCCCCCCGCCCCCCCGCCCCGCCCGCAAGGGCGAAGGCCGCTGACCCCTGGAAACGGGAGAATCGCACCCTGGCAGCCCAAGCCAACCCGCGGGATCGATGGGTCGACCAGTCGCGGTGAGCCAGCCGCGAAGAGAGCCGTGCCCCCAGGGCCCACATGGAGCGCAACAGATATAAATACCAGCACTGCGTGACCTCCTCGGAGGCGCGCGGCCGACCCGAACTCACAAAGCATGGCCATGTTCTGGCACATTGTTTCCCAAGCGGCGTGGCCAGAAGAGCGCCCGCCACGACGCATACACTGTAAGATTTCTCGGCGCGCGCGCCGCCCTTGGGGAGGCGGCGCACACATAGCACGAGCACGTCGGGGCAACGCCGACCCCGAGCTGCTGCAGAGGCGAAGCCGCGCCCCAGAACAGGGCGAGCCTGCGGCTGGAAGGCCGGGGACCCTGGCTCGGGGCCGTTCGGGAAAAGATCGGGAGGACGCTGGACCGCCATCGAATCAATCCGAATCGAACCGAAATTGGACTGCCGCGATCAAACCCTGCTGGCCCTGGCCGGCGCTCGCGGATCGAATCGACCGGAATCGAATCGGAAGCGCGGCCCCCTACGGGGGCCCGCCGAACCGCCTCGAATCGGATGATAGCCAGCCCTGCTCGGGGCCCAGTCCTGAGCCCGCGCCCGAATCTGTCGGTTCGCGACTGGAATCTCGGTTTGCCGATTTCGCTGCCTGTCCGCCGAGCCCACTACTCATCGAACGGCATGCCGGTCACACTTTTGCAATGCGGCGGTGGGACGATCACACCGCGGTCGGAGCGGCAACCATGCTACGGAGGTCGAATAATCACGCGCAGAGGAGGCGCGGACGAAGAAGGACAGGGCACCGGAACGCCGGCAGGGGCAGCCCCCGCAGCCGCGCAAGAAGCTGCTGCCAAGGCGCTGACGGCAGCGGCCAAGGCGTTCGCCGCCGCCGCATGCGCCGCCTGCGCTGGGAGCTGGGGTGCGACGCGGGGGGGGGGATTTTTGCGAGCGCCAGGAGAGCGGAAACAGGGATAAAAAGAAAACGAACAAGGGCAAAGGGAAGGCCGGCCTCCTCTTCCTCCTCCTCATCCTCCTCTTCCTCCTCCTCATCCTCATCTTCTTCATCATCAGCAGCCAGCATTTCTTCTTCATCATCAACATCCACATCATCATCATCATCATCATCATCATCATCATCATCATCATCATCATCATCATCATCATCATCATCATCATCATCATCATCATCATCACATCATCA